ACATAACCCTTTCATAATATTCCTCAATCACTATTTCATTCTCATCTTCAATCCTGTACTCCAGTTCCTAAGAAATAGCTCTGAATTATTGCACTTCTATCCCTTTACACACCACTTCCCTGGTGTGGAATGCTTCCCTCCACCTCCCCAGACTTTTCTACCTGGCCAACTCCTACTCACCCATCAAGGTTTCTGCTTCCATCCATTGCTTCTGCGAAGTCCATCCTAACTTCTAGCAGGCAGTTACGTCTATTCCTAATCAGACTTCCCTTGGCACCCTATGCTTTCCACTAACACACCACTTAGCACACCAAATTATAATTATCTCCACTGGATCTCAAAGTCGACATGTTCAGCAGTTCGTTTCTGCTGATTTTTATATCAATGAAATTTAGCAGGAGATGGATCTTGCAGCCTCACCATCTTCAATGGAGATGTATAGAACTAGTTATAGAATCTCACCATCTTAACTGGCATTATTAAATGCCCAGATAGCAGTCATTTGGTAATAGTGTCCTACTAAATAAATACATGTGCTGCTCTAAAGGCAATTCTGGTCCCCACAGGCTTCCATAGGAAGAGGGCTGGGTGAGTATGACTGAGAGATTCTTCCAGAGTAGGCAGAGATGCTTCCCAACCTGCCTCCACTAGTTACTATCTATTCTAGACAAGTTACATCATATCTAAGCCTCAGTTTCCTAATTTATAAATGGAAATAACCTAAGTGGTTCCTATGGTGACCACAGATCAGCTGCTATTCTGAGCACTTTAAATATGCTAATTTATTTAATCCTTAGAATTAGGATATGCGGTAGGTGTATTACTCCATTTTACAGATGCAGAAACTGTGGCACAAAAAACACAGGTAATAACTGGCAGAGCCAGGATTCCAACACAGGCACTGAGGAGTCGGAGTCTGTGTCATAATATCCACTTCACAGGTTAGTGCGGATCAAACGAAAAAGTGCGAATCAAGGTCAAGGGCAGGGCATGGCACACAGTGAGTACTCTTTATTATTTTAAAACGTGAAACACCTTGGCCTGCAAGAATTCTTTCAAAGCCCATGATTTTCTGCGTGAATTCATCGGGTGTCTCCTGTAGGGAATGAAATGGATGAGTGGGGAGGACACCGGGGACAAGCCTTCCAATACCGATACAGCTCTCTGTCTCCGTTACTCAGGGATGCTCCTACTTTGTAAGGGGAAGCGGAAGTAGCTGGTGGGCAAAAGCCCAGTTCCGGTGTTACTGCGGGCCTTTCTAGCCGGGCAGGGGCCCGGTAGCCCCCTTGCCTGCCTCCTGCGTGCCAACAGGACCCCTTGCTCGTGGGGGCCCGCCCTCGGCGAAGGTTTGATTTTCCACTGGTGGAGGCTGCGGGCGGCGTCTGTCCGTCCTTCAGCCAACGGACTCGGCTGTCTCTTCTCGCTGTTTGGTAAAGTCCTCCTCCGCTCCAGCAGAGGGCGCCAGAAGACGGGCCTCGAAGCCTGGGAGGCTCTCTGACACGGAAGTGACGTCACGCCGCCGGAAATCCGCGTCCGCCGGGACTCCGGGGTGTGATGGGTAGTTGAAGCGGCTGAAAGCCGAGCGTGTAAGGTTATGTTAGGAGGTGTTTAAGGGCATCGTTTCCACGCCGGTTAGGCTCAGAGGCTCAGGTGAGAAAAGTGAGGTCCTGGAGACAGGGGTTTGTTCATATTCACCCAGCGAGAACCTCTCCCGAGACCAGCGCGCTTCGCATACGACTCCTTTTAGCGGAGGAACGGCCTTGGGGTGGTTTGCTCCTCCTGAGGAGTCCCTGAGGCAAGTGTCACAGGAATACCCGCATTGCACAGATGGGGTAAACGAACCCAGAGAGAGACAGGGACTTGCAGGGTAGGGTTGACGGATTTAGCAGCTAAAATGCAGGACGCCCAGTTAAAGTTGAAGTTCAGGGGAACAACAGTGTTTTAGTATAAGGATACCCCTAATAGTCATGGGTCATACGTTTACTGAAAAAGTAGCCGTCGTTTTCTGAATTCAGATTTAACTGGGCGTCCCATATTTTGTATGGCAATCCTACCTCACGGTCACCCAGCTGAGTGGAAGAGCAGAAAGAGCTTTTGAGACATCCTGTATGCCTCCCCACCTAAGGCTCACAAGTGTGTGGACCCGCACCCCTCCTGGGTGTAACCCTGGAAGCCTTTAGCGACCCCCAACTCGTTCCACTTAGTGGCCTGCCCTTCGCAGGATCTAGGCTGCTGTTCAGGAGCTGAGGAGAACGGGTCAGATACCCCTGCCTCGAGGTTCAGGGGTAACTCCCCCCCCGCCACCATCCTCCAAGACTAGTTTATTCGAAGACACTAAGCACTTACTCTGTGCTAAGCACAAACCCAGGCTCCAGATGACATTGGCAAGTAGGAGAAATATTCCCTCTCTTTGTGGACTTAGATTTGCGGGGAGACGAGTAGACATTACATTGCGATCAACAGTTCTTTAATACGGGTAAGTGCAGCACGCTGTGAAAGCACAGAGGTGCAATATCCAGGCGGAGAGTAAGAGAAAAGGGAGATACGCAAGCTGAGGCTTGCAAGGGTCATTCAGCTTATTTGTTGAATATTTGTTGGTGGGCAGTGCTTTAGGCACTAGGAACACGGCAGTAAACAAACATCTCTCTGCCCTGAAGAGCCTAAGTCTAAGTAAAATGCATGTCAGATGATGAGCTGTGGGGTGCAGGAGTAAAAGGTGAGGCTGCGGAGGGGATCATGGGACACTGGGGTGCGAGTATCACAGTTTTAAAGAGCGTGGTGAGGAGGGCCTCACTGAGAAGGTAACGTGAGCAGAGATCTGAAGGTGTGAGGGGGAAAGATCATGGAGCTATTTGGGGTTATAAGGAAATGTGCCTGGTGTGTTAGAGGAACACAAAGAGAGGCATGATGTACTGCCTTCAGTATGATAGCTTTCTCGGGGATTTTCAGTGACAACTTTGACTGTGTTTCTTGCCTTAAATACTGCCTTTAGAATCTAATTTCTGTAAAATGTGACTCCACATAATTAGCTGGGGGGCCACTTTAAATAGGGTGTACAGAAAAGGCCTTTCTGAGAAGGTGACATTTAACGTGAGCCCTTTAAGATAAGGATGAGTCAGCCCTGGAGAAGCTGGAAGAAGAGCTATTTAGGCAGAGGGAACAGCAAGGGCAAAGGTCTGGAAGCAGGAAAGAACTCAGTAGACGTGAGGAACTGAAAAGAGGCCAGTAGGCCGGTGCATGGTGAGAAGAGTGGCAGGAGATGAGGTTGGAAAGTGGACGGAGATCTCAGGCAATTGAACTTTCATTGGCATCACAGTAGGAATCCACCGGAGGATTTTCAGCAGAGGATTGACAAGATCGGATTCGTGTTTCAAAAAGATCCCTCTGACTGTTAGGAGCCTATATCAGATAATTTTGTAGGTTAAGTTTACACGGGCTTAGCTACTCATCCCCTAGGTGCCAGGAAGAGGGTTTAAAATGGAGCAAAGGGTTGACTGGGAACTCACATCCTGTTGCCTTCCGTATGGTCCCTTTACAGCTGGAATGAGTGGCCAGGGGTGGGGGCGGGGGACACCCAGAGAGCCACCATCCCCCTCCTGAGCAGGGGTGGACAGAGATGACAACTTGGACCCCCATCAGGCTCCCTGGCTGGACCTGCCTTAAACAGGCTGGGGGGTGAAGGAGGGTGAAGTGCATGCTACCACCAGCCCACTAGGTCTTCCTCGGCCCCTTTTGAATACACTTTCAATTATCCTCTCAAAGGCCCTGTCATGCTTCTGTTCCAGAAGCATATAGGGCTGCCTGCTGCCTGCAGAATTAAGTTCAGACTCCTTGCTCTGTTGTTCGATTTGTAGGACTGAGCCCTTAACCTGTGGGATCTGATTCTATCTCTTAGGTAGGTAGTGTCAGAATTGAGTGGAGTTGTAGGACGCCCGGCTGGTGTCTGAGAATTGCTTGGTGGTGTGGGAAAAAAAAACACACATTGTACTAGGCTTACCCAGTGAGAAGCTCAAGTGAAGATATAAAAACAATCGCAATGAAATGTCTAGACCAGGCAAGTCCACAGAGATGGAAAATAGATTCGTGGGTGCCAGGGCTGGGGGAGGGGAGAATGGGGAGTGACTGCTAGTGGATATGGGGTTTCTTACTGAGGTAATTAACATGTTCTAGAATTAGGTAGTGGTGATGCTTGCAGAAACTCTGTGAATATACTAAAAACCACCAGATTCTACACTTTGAAAGGGTGAATTTTAAGGCATGTGAATTATATCTCAATTTTTTTTTAATTGCAGAAGAAAAATCTTTAGGGTCACCAGTAGCAGCTGGGGGAACTCTAAAATCTGAACTCCTTTGCTAAGCGGCTCACACACCCCAGTTGCATAGCTTGAGACCCTAGCAATGTGAAGTCCTGAAGAGAACTGCCAGTGTCTGAGGAGACGTGAGCATCAGAGCCGTTGGCACTGGATGTGGCAGTAGTCTGTGGCCAACCATGTTCTAACAATTACTGCCTGAATAAGCAAAACCAACCAGCACGTATTTGCATTACTCTGATTGCCTTGCTGACCTGCAAGGAGAGGAAGGGTACAGGGTCTCCTCAGAACCTCCCAGGGACCCACCTCTTTGCTCTTTATCTTTGGTATGAATTTCCAAAAGCGGTGTCAAATATTCAGTTTTCCCCACTTTGGGCCGGGACTTAAGCTGGCTGTTGGGTTCACACAGAAGCCCCTCACCAGCCATGAGCTGCAGCCCCGGTGCCGCACAGAGACAACCGTGACCCCGACCCCAGACCCTGACAGCTCCCCCTTCCTCACAAAGCCAGGCATGGAAGCTTGTGAAGACGAGAGAGATGAGTTAGAGAAGCTGGGTGCCAGTGGGAGGTGCCCACACTGCAGCGGGTCAGGACCGAAGCAGAGGGCATGGGGTTATCATAGTAGGGTGGGGAAGTCTCGGCCCTGGCCTCACCCAGGCTGCTTCGTTGACTGAACTGCCGGGTTCCACTGGCGTATTAAACAACCTAAATATTTATTCGCTTCATATTTACAAAGGTAGGAAGCAGACCAAGGGAGACCCCAAGAACACCCCCATACCTGGCTGACCAGGCCCCTGGCGCTGCAGAGGAGGCAGACACAACTGGGAGGCACAGGATTTATGTTGCGTACTTGAACTACAGGGAGCGCAAGACTGGTCCTATTTACAGGGCAGAAACACTGCAGGGGGAGCGTGGGGCCGGCAAAGTGAGCGCCGGAGTCCTGGCCAGAGGGTGCTCCTAATCGCCACCTTCCCCTCCGCTCCCAGAGGCGTCTCTGCGGCCCCGCTGGGGTTCTCCGGGGGCGGGGGGACAGGTCCCGCTCACATGATGCTCGCCGGGGTGAAGACAGGGCCCATGCACAAGGTGTCTGTGATCTCCCAGCCACAGGACAGAGGCCTGCACGTGCCCTCGGCGTCCTCATCCTGTTCTGCAGGCAGCAGCTGCCCTCGCAGGGCTTCCCTGCAAGTGAGAGGGGGTCCCTGGAGGCAGCCAGCACGGGGCCCGCAGGCCAGGCACTGCTGGCCGATGCACTGGAAGACCTGGCGCCACTGGGGCCGCAGAACCCAGGGGCAGGGGCAGGGGAAGGCCTGCTGCCCCTTCTTCCTCTGCTGCTCCCTTCTCCCCCATAGTCTACCCCCACAAGGGAGAGGAACCCACGTTCATTGATGTGCCCACTATTGGGCCAGGCACTTTGCTTACAGTATCTAGTATCCTCCCAAAACCCTGTAAGGGTGACGTTATCGACCCCATTTTACTCTGAGGAAATTGAGACTCAGAAGTTACCTGCCCAAGGTCACATCTTCTACCCTAGAAGGTGGTAGAACTAGGACTCAACCCAATGCTCACTTCAGTGCCCACGTTCTTCATATCCCAAGCTTAGTACTTTAAAAGAATCATCTGCCTCCCCTCAAAAACTCTACAAGCTGTTTCTCCTACATCCCCACGTTAATAAACGGCTCGTGCTCTTGCCACACGTTGTCTTCTTCCCACACCCAGTAGATCCCTGCTGAGCCTAGTTCCTGAGCATCCTCAAAGGTACCTGTTTCTCTCCATTCCCGCTGAGACCACCATCTCTAGCCGGGAAAGTGCAGTCTCCCTGATCTGCTCTTGCCCCCTCTGGACAATTCTGACCCAGATTCATCTTCCCAAAACGCAAACCCCTGCTCTTGAGTCGCCAGCAGTTTGCTTCCACTCTCAGGCCCCACAAGATCTGGGCCCTGCCAGCCTCTCCCATCACACACAACAGTGCTGCCTGGTTGCCAGCCACAGCAGCCATCTTTTGGGCTCACATCTCATCCTAGGCCTGTGCACATCCGGCCTCTGCCTGCATCATCAACCGTTCGCTGAGTCCCACAGCCCAGTGTACTCCTTCATAGCAACAAGGGTTCAATGCCTGCTTCCCTGACATTCCTCCAACTATAGCAGGGCAGGGGATATGTCTGAGTTACTCACTGCCTAGTGGCCCCAACAGCAGGCTGGTACATGGTAAACACTTGGTGAGGAGGGGTGGACGCTGGGTAGGAGGACAGGGAAAGAGTACTGGGTTCAGTGTCAAGAGGCCTGGGGGTAGGGGCAGCAGGACAGCCTGTCCTTTACTTCTGCCAAGTTCTGCTTCCCCACAAAACCCTCCCTCTTCCACCTACATCTTCCCTTCCCTCCCTTCATACTTCCAGGTTATTCTAGTCCCCCACCTGCAGGAAGGCCTCCCTCTTTGCCGATATGTGCAATTCAGCAGCAAATCAGTAGTCAGTATCTTTGCGGAGTCCAGTCAGGCCGTTCCCTTCCAGGTGGGAGGTCCTCTGGGCCAAGCACCCTCTGTCTGAGCCTCTGTCGCCTTATCTTTCAAAATGGGTTTTGAAAGATAAGTTTCTTAGAACCCCTCACTGGCTCCCTACTGCCTTCAAGATCAAGTCCAACCTGGGCCTCCAAGCTTCTTCTTGATCTATTCTTCCCCACAGTCCACTCCAGCCAGCCAGAGCTACTAAAAACTCCTTGGATGGACTAGACTCTGAAGCCCCTACCCCTCCTGGCCCAGACGACCCTCCTGTCAGCTTGCCTGGCCCTCCTTACCCATCAGGCCTCCTGAGAAGCAGCCCTGACCACCTCCCCAGCCTGCTGGCCCTCCCTCCCTAGTGACCTTGGCACTCTCTATGCCAGGGTCTGTGTATGCAGGTCTGTGCCTTGGCTCGCCACGTTCTCAGATGCTCTTTTACCCGCCAGGACCCAGCACAGAGCCAGACTCTAAAGTAGGACATTTTGATGAGGCCCCTTTAATATGGGGAATTTTCTGACATGGCCATTTCAATACATCAAAATTTTGTGTTCCTAAGTAATGAGTGCATCTGACTCCCTGCAGCCTCATCCAACTGTGTTTGCTGGTGACGGTGCCAGGATGGGATAAGGAAGTCTGTGTGATTATTGTTTTTTTACTTCTGTTTTTTAGGCCTTGTCAAAACAGACCCCTGATGTCAAAACGGTGGCATCAGCCTATCCTGTGCCCCTGCAGGGAGTAGAAACAACAGGTCTGTTGACTGGATAAATGACATGCAACTTTGATACTGAGCCCCGTCAGGCCTGGCATTTGGTAGCACTGTTCCGGTGGGGGTGGGCGGGGGTGGGGGGTGCAGGGAAGAGGCTCAGGAACCCAGCATGTCCCTGGGGACACAGGCTACACTCATGCCTGAGGGCCTATTATAAAAGCCCCTCCCAACTGCCCCAGCCCCCAAAGAGGGGGCTTCTTCATCACTGACCAGCTGTGTGACCTCTGTTTGTGTGGGTAAAAGGAAATCGTCAAAAGGTGCCTAATGTAGGGCCTGACAGAAAGTTTCAACGGTTTAGGGTTAGGGTTAGGGTTAGGGTTAGAGTTAGTTTTCTTTCCATCTGGCCTCACTGGATCCCACTGCTGGCCTGCCGTGGGCGAGCTCAGTGAGCAGGCGAGTCTTTGTCTTTCCCGAGTCACAAAGCAGCCACCCAAGTGATCAGCTCTATCTACATCTGCCCTCGTCTTCTCTTAATCCACCCAGTAGTCAGAGCGGTCTTTCAGGCTTCGAACCAGCCCCTGCATGCTGCTGCTCAAAGCTCTCAACTTCCTTCAAGTCCCTTCCCAGATCCAACCCTGCTCCTTCTCCAGCCCCGACCAACCTCGTGTAGTTTCCTGAAGTTATGCTCGCTCCCTGTTCCTTCTGCCTGGAACCCGCTTCCCACCCCTCCTGCCACCCAACTCCCACTCGTCCACCAGGCTTTGGCTTCATCCTTCCTTCCTCAGGGAGGGAGATCTGGGCCTTGGGTTGGGAGCTGGGCTCTAAGCCTCCAGAGCCTGCCCCCCTCCCTCCAGCACTGCATTATCAGGAGTGTCTGTCTGCTCCTGTGTCTCTCACGGGACTCTGAGCTCCTCAAGGGAAGCTCAGTCTCATTCATGGCCACAGCCAAGCACAGGCCTCACTTGGAATCAGCAGCCAACAGCTACTTGTCACATTGGGCTACCCAGGAACAGGGACCCAGACCTGGGGTTCCCCTTATTGCTTCTGCCCAGGCTGCTCCCTTCTCCCCCCACTCCATTTCCCAGCAGGGCCCCCTTACCAGGCCACCCGGGACATGGCATAGGTGATGCGGCAGGTCTGGGTGCCCCCGAGGAGGGAACCCATGCCCACAGTGTAGGCGCCCATGTTCTCAAAGACCAGCCAGTCCCCTACATGTAGTTGCGGCAGCCACAGGCCCTCAGCTATGCAGTCACAGCCATCGATCACTGGGCCCCATAGGCTGCTGCTGTACAGGGGCTGCTCCGTGGATGGTTTCTGCAGGAGAGAAGGATGACAACGGTCAGCTTTCCTGGGCATACGTGCACAGCCTGAGCACCCCCTCCCTCCGAAGCCTGCATGGCTCCCAGAGCCAATAGAATAAAGACTTGATGGGCCTCTAAGCCTGCAGTTAAGGCCCTCCCACTTCTCTGCATTCATTGCTTCCTACACTCAGAAGGCATAGTGCCTGGTCTTACATCCAGACTCCAATACTTGCTAGTTGGGTGACCTTGGGCAAGATACTTTATCCCTCTGTGCCTCAGTTTGCTCACTTGTAAAATGGGAATAATAACAGTACCTACCTCACAGGGCTACTGAAAGGATAAATGAGTATAGGTAGAGCATGTAGAACAGTGTCTGGCACATGGCAAGGGCCCAGTAAGTTAGCACTATCTCTATTATTGTTGGTGTTGCTGTCAGCTCCCGGCTTGGGCCTTCACTGGTGTGTCTGCCACTTTCCAGACCCTGGGTGAGTCCCCCCCTCTGCAGCCCTACCCCCTCCCTCAAATCAGAGATTGTCCTCTGGACGCAGCCCTGGGGCTCCTTCTTCTATGCAGGCCTCCACAATCCCCTCCTTCCATGCTAGGCCTGGTAACAGGAGCTAGAAGCACACCAGTGAGTTAGACCCTCCCTCCCTCCCTCCCTCGGGCTCTCAGTCTGGTGAGGAAGACGGGCCTCCCACAGACAGTCACAGGGTAACCTGCCAGAGGTCACAGAGGACCTCACAGGGTAGATAGAATTACTCCCATTTCAGGGAAACTAAGGTTCTGAGAGGTTAAGTGACTTACCCAAAGACACAACTAACAATGACATAAAATTTTTATTTTTTTTTAAGTGACTTCCAAATCCAAGGAAGAAATCTGTAACATAGGCCATTTGCGGACAACCAAGATATCACTGCAGTTTGTCACAGTGTAGGGATCCTGCCAGGCAGGTCCTAGAGGAGGAGTCATGACTGAAAGAGGGACAGAAGCGAATCCTGGCTGAATCATGCCCTTGAAAGCCCCTCGTTCCAGTTAGTCCAGCTGCTCTAGGCTCCCCAGGTAAACCCTGCTTCCCTTCCCCCAGCCCCAGCCATCCCCATGCTACTCCCTGAGGCTCCAAACCTACCAATTCCTAATTTTCCTTTAGATCTCAGCTTCCTCATGGAAGCTTTCCTAAGGCTCCCCAAGCTTTGTCATCATAGCACGTACTATGATTTATGATTAGATATTTATGAAATGTATCACCCAGGCCTGTCTTCCCTGTCAGACTATAAATTCCATGAGTCCAGAGATCACGACAGTTGTCTACCCCCATCTCCTCCAAGCCTAGCAGTCTGGCATACAGTAGGTGCTTTTGTCAATAATATTTCTTAAGTGAATGAATGAATAAATGAATAGGGAATACATGAGTGATGAGAAAGAGGAAGAGCCAAAAAGAAAGAAAAAGAAGGTACGAATGGAAGCCATCAAAGAGCCTAGAAGGAGGCAGCGGAGGAAACCAATGCAGGATGAAGGAAAGGTGTTTCAGTACCTCAGCCAGGAGCAGGAATGAGTCAGACTGAGAAGAGTCATGGGTGCCATAAGCAGAAATAATACTCATAGTTGACAAAAGGGTAATGCATAAGCCACTGTCTCATTAATAAAGAAAAACATGCACGTTATTAAAATCAAACATGAGAACTATCCTATACTCATTAATTCATTCAATAGGGACTTATTAAGCACCTACTATATGCCAGGCTCTGATCTAGGAGCTGCAGACGCATCAGTGAACACACACACAAAAAAACAAAGTTCCTGTGCTCATGAAGCTCACATTCTAGGAAAGCGAGATAAACCAATATATCCTTGTTCATATAACTTAACAAGCTTGTTCACAAGCTTCTTGTTAATGAGTAAAATTCATCTTAGTTGCTCTGAATTATTTCCCTTAGCTCCAGTTCTTAAAAAACAATAAGCTAGGGACTTCCCTAGTGGTGCAGTGGTTAAGAATCCACCTGCCAATGCAGGGGACACAGGTTGGAGCCCTGGTCCGGGAAGATCCCACATGCCGCAGAGCAACTAAGCCCGCGAGCCACAACTACTGAGCCCGCATGCCACAACTACTGAAGCCCACGCGCCTAGAGCCTGTGCTCCGCAACAAGAGAAGCCACCGCAATGAGAAGCCCACGCACCACAACAAAGAGTAGCCCCTGCTCGCCCACGCGCAGCAACGAAGACCAAACGCAGCCAAATAAATAAATAATTTTTAAAAAACTTAAAACAAAAAACCAAATAAAACAATAAGCTAACCTTTAAAGAATTGTGAGAGGAAATGCTATATAATTGTATCCATGAGGATCCTTAAGAAAATAGGTTCCAAAGATTCTTCCACAATAAGATAAAAAGGAACCCTTGAGTTATAATCAGAGTTCTCTCACTTCTTAGTAGTGGTATAAATTAAAAATGGGTGGAAAAGAAAGATTTTAAAACTTCACAGGAAATAATGCAATTATCATTTAAAACCTTTAAAAAGAAAAGGAAACAAAAAAGGAATATGCAAAATAAATGTTCCAAAAGCATGTGGGGACAGGCTTGTAAGTCTCAGCTCTGTTTATGAGTCGGAAAACTGAATGGAAATGGACAGGCACCTGTAAAAATATAAGATACCCAGTCTGCTACTAGGGCCCCCTCTGAGAGAGAGGGCAGAGGGTTCCTACTTTACAAAGCATGCCCACCACTACTTCACACCTCATCTGGGAGGCAGTTGCAATTCCCATGTTACGGATGAGAAAACTCAGAAGAAATGACCTGCTTCAGGTTCTGGAGGGGGTTAGCAGCAGAACTTCAGGTGGTCCCAGACAAGGTGCCTCCTAGCTGCACCTGAATGGCTGCTTTCCTCAAAGAGACCCAGTAGGTGAGCAGATCCACAGATGAAACAAGGTGAAACATTTAGAATGGCACATGGCTTTGATGGAATCCCTAAATAGTTCCCCAACTTTTAAACAATAAATCAATTAACTCCTATACTGCATAAAGTATACAGAAATATTTTCAAAGGGAAAAAAATGGCATGAGCAAGGGCTGCACACAAAAAGGAAAAAGAGGAAACAGAATAAAAGCCTATGATCAAAATCTCACTCGTGAACATATAGGCAAAAATCCAAAATGAATCCCTAGCTAATCAAATCCACACTCATATTCAAAGAATCACTTTCAATGATCACATAATTTGTCTCTAAATGGAAGGCAGGGATGATATGAGCAAGGCAATCACTGGCTTCATCATAATATGGAAAATATAGATCTACAATTCAAATTAAATTTTCCCAATACACGTCAACATGGCATTCAATAGCCTATAGCATCTCTCCTTGATTAAAACTACAGACAAAACTAAACCCCACAACGAAGAGAAACTATTTAAAATAAGGAGCCAACTCTAACTTAATGGAGATACACTAGAATGGCTTCATTTCAGAACTAGAAGCAACCTTAGTAATTAAAGTTAAGCCCCCTCATTTTCCAGATGAAGAAACGAGAGAAACAGGGCCCAGAGAGGTTAAGTAATTTGCCTAATGTTACTCAGCTACTATATGGCAGAGCCAGGACTCAGACCCACATCTTCTGACTCCAAGTCTGAAGCTTTCTGTCATGAGAAATGCTGGCAATAGCTAGTAGGGAAAAAATAAACAGTATAGAGAAAGTGAAGAAATAAAATATCACATTGCAGATAACACTTGCCCACGTGGCAAACAAAGGGGAGAGAGGTAGTTACTAGAAGAGCTCAGTGAGTTTCAGCATGCAAGCCAGTGTCTCCGCTCAAACACACAGGGGACCGTCTTCACTCACGACAGTAATGAAAGCATTACTAAACTCAGGGATGTACTTGGGCCACAATAATACTTATTCAAAGAAAATAATAAAACCTTAAAAGGAGAGATAAAATACAAGAGCTCTATCCTCTCCTAGCTAGAAAAGCTGAGTAAAGCAAAAAAGAATTCTCTCCAGTTTAATTGATTAAATATGCTACGACTAATTAAAACTCCCAGGATATCTTTTTAAACATTAGAAACAATATGACAAAAAATAAACATGAGCCTATCACAGAATATTAGTAAGTAGCAGTGACAGACTCAATTTTTTGTTAAATGTTTAATTCATACAAAAGGACATTTGTTTCATGTGTAAAATAAAAAGAATAATGATAAAATGAATATCTGTGTACCCACTGCCCAGCTAAAGAAATAGAACATTTCCTCTATCTTTGAAATCCCCATCCCAATGACATGTCCCTTCCCAAACTCCTCCAGAGGTAACCATTATCCAGAATTTTGTTTTCATTATTCTTTTGCTTTACTTTTTTCCATGAGTATACCTAACCCTAAACAATTTAGAATTTGATTTTGCACTTTTTAAAATGTATATGATTGGAAATATAGGGTATGTAATCTCTGCAACTTGCTTTTTTGTTTATTTGAAACTTACATTCCCAAGATTCATCCAACTGATGCATGTAGATATAATTCACAATAAGCTGCATAGAATTCATTGTATGGAATACACTGTAATTTATTTGATAACCCAGCATCAAGACAACATTAAGGTTGTTTCCAATGTTTTGTATTATAGAAATTGCTCCTGTGAACATTCTGACATCTCTTCAAATACACATGCCCAGAGTTTCTATGCAATATATACCTAGGAACTTGCTGGGAGAGTGTACACATGTCTAACTTTACCTAAATAATGCCAACTTGTTTCCCAAAGTAGAAATACCAACTCCACCTAGCAGTATCTAAGAGATCCAACTCTCTATATGCCACCAACACTTGATATTGTCATGCTTTACATTTTTTTCTAATCTAGTTGGTAGAAGATGTATCTTGTTTTCCTTTTACTTTGCATTTTCTTGATTACCAATGAGGTTGAGCACCTTTGCATTTTCTATTTGGCTTTCCTCTTCTGTGAACTGCCTGTTAAAGTCTTTTGCCCCTATTTCTATTGCTTTCTGCTTCACTTTTTTCCCCTTAT